ATAAGTGGTGGTGGATCAAGGCCATAGTAGTCAGCAGTCGTATTGCGGTAAAGACATGTTAAAGCATTCCGCAAAAGTGCACAAACAATGTACATTTTTCCTACATGACTAAGGCCAATTTTGAGATTTTTTTTGTAGTCGAGAAACTTGAAATAATTTATAAGGTCTCCAAACAACCATTCCACACTTGTGCGTACAGAACTCATAGATGCATTAAACTCTTCCATTTGTCTTGTTAACACCCCATGTCTGAAGGGGCACTGCAGATGGGTACGTAGAGGATATGCCAGATCCCCGTAGATACACATCTCTTGTCCAGCAGGAGAAAAGGCGAACTGTGCCAGGTCAACATAAAGGCCAGATGTGTCCAGCATTCTTGCATCATGCATTCATCCCTCTGAACAAGGGCAAAAAAAATAATTTTTGAACCACAATCAGTTACACATTGGCTGGCTGACAAACTGTTACCTATGTAGACCATTGATTAGCTTAGTAAGTGAGTAGGCCAAAAACAACATAGGATTGGCTGGCTATTATTCTTGCAGTCCAGGTACTTATGGCATGTAAGTCAGAGTTTAGAATTTATTGGTCTGTGGTGACAGGAAAACTAGTTCCTCTAATAAAAATTGGGAGTGGGAGCTACTGAAAATACCTCTGATTTGAGAGACCGGGAGGAAGTCATCAAGAAACGTTAGCTTAACCTTTTGAGAAAAGAAATCAATCTAACTTTTAACTTCACATAAGTGATAAAAATGTCTATCCAAGTGAAAACAGCTACGGCACTATCCCACTATAAAAAATAAATGAATCTACCGTTACCTACTGGTCCAAACAGATTGCCAATCAATCCATTTGGTAGGGCCAAGGATTGAAATTTAAGAGCGTGAACACGCTTGTGGCCATTATAAACAGCTCTTTGATTGACTCCTGGTTTTGATATGGGACGAACTGTTCCATCAACAAAGCCGAAACAGTTGTCCAAGGCGGCACCTTTGTCATGAATTGCTTCAGAGTAAGTTTGCAGTAGGTTAGGAGACATAATGAAATGATTCCATTCGGTAATCCTGTGGCCATGAGCATTGTACATCCATTCAGTAACTTCGTTGCTAATCATGCTGAGCTCGGGTACTGATCGACCAAAAGTAGAAATCATATCAGACAACCTACATGGATAGCTAAAACGCTTTAGTATAACACAAAGTCCTTCTGTTGAATCACAAACGGTACCATTCGGGCATGTGAAGGTATCAGGCATCTGTAAAACATCCACCAACAATGAGATGTCACTCTTTTCAAATCTGAAGTCTGCCTTACACTCTGCGGGGTCTTTGTTTTCGAGGGAAAATTTTTCATAATCCCAGTGGCGAAACGGAAGGTTTTGGGGAGTGAATTCTTCATACAGCACGGCAAATTCTTCGTCATCTATTAGCTTTTCTTCCAGAGAAAGGAGCAAAGCTTCCTGTAAAGTCTTAAATGAGTTTTGAGTCATTCTTATAGGGAAAGGCGAAAAGCGTTTTCACTGTTTTCCAGACCATAACTATTAGTCTAAATGATCGCGTTGTTGATCTTAACTACATATTTCCCGCGCTTAGAACGCGGTGCTCGCCCCAGCCCCACTCTCGGTCCTCACGTTTTCCAGACCACCGCGTTCTCAGTTCTTAAGTCCCTAGTAATAGATCACAGATGACGTCAAAATGTGGTAGGAACAAAAAAGTGGCACACGAGGCGCAGCCGAGTGTGTCACTGATGTTCCTACCACATTTTGACGTCCTCTGTGATCTATTACTGAACAGATGCACGGCAACTTGGAATCTATTTGTTTTATATAATAAAGAATTAAAAAGGTTTTAATGATGACGTCATCTATACGTCTGTCCTCCAATAGATCATAAGTGAGAACCAATCAAAATGCGTGCATAACTGAGCTTATTATATTAATTAGGTGTTGTCAATCAATCAGATCGACCGAAACTAGGTCGACAACTTACGAACCGGCCAAACATTTCGTTAACAGCGCCGCTGATATGTCATGGGCTCATCTGTTTTAGGACGATGATATATATTGCTTTCCTGCTTTATATATAAGTTAAACACAAATGCAATTAAAATTAATACTTATCTTTCCCTAGTATTCTGGTGTCATTATTCTTCTGCTCACTAGGCAACTATGAGGTTTAGGTCGATGGTGTGTGGGATTTCCAAGAGGTGTTGCCAATCAATCAGATTGACCGAAACCAGGTTGACAACGTACGAACCGGCCGAACATTTCGTTAACAGCACCATCGATTAAAGTATCATTACAGTCCAACTAAGGAACTGTTTTTCTGTTCAAATCTGCCAGAAACTGACTCAAACGCACTACGCGAACTTCCTAATACACGAGTACACTATGAATACGCTTCAACAAAAGTAAGCGCAAGTCACGTTGTAACCTACGGATACTCATACAAGATGCCGCTGATATGTCATAGGTTCATCTGGTTTAAGACGATGATATATATATAAATATATGTTATTTGCCGGCTGTAGGCCGTGGGCAGCATTTTCAAGACCTTGGTCACAGTTTTTCACCATACGGACCGACCCTTAGCCGGTAAATAACATATTTATTGTTTTTAAACTTGACGAAATTCTTTCCGAAAGAACCCGAATGATTTAGGGCTGTAAATACGGCAAGATCTTCCATAAACTGAACAAATTTTGAGCGAGGAAATGGTAGTTAAAATAGAGGTGATGCAAATTAAAGAGAGATGCCTCAGCGAAACATTTTCATTTCCCTAACGATAAGGTGATTTAAAAGGCTTCCAAACAAACTTTGAAACATTATTTTTACAAGTGTCTGTCACAATCTGACACCTGTCAATTAGAGAGCGCGTAAGAAAAAAAAAGCTTAAGAACATTTGAAAAACAACGGAACTAGTTTGGCAAGGACTGTCACGACAATGTTTTCTTCAAAATCAGTCAATGATCTAACGGAAAGTATTATTCACTCTCATCAACGATTCATTCATGTACGAAGATTTACCTCTGTTCATTAAGTAAACGGCGAGGAAAGTAATTGTGAGTAAATTCAATTTTTTTATTTTGAAGTTGTGAGAGCTTGCTCGTTTGTTTGCTGCAATGGTGTGTGTAAATCTGGTCTTTCCTTCACAAAAACTAAATTCGAACGGCACACTCCAACGAGACACAAGGGAATTTAATGCGGCCTTTTCTCAAAAAATTCCTTCAGTTTCTGTTGCGTAATTTACGGTACAAATGTCCAAATTGAACGGAATTGGAAAGACTCACCGGGAGCCTATATTTGTTGTAGAACTTAAATTAAAACTTTGCTCGCTCTTTCACTACTAACAATTTTCTCGAGAAAATTCAGTTATTAAATTAATGAAAGTTCCATCGTTCAGTTTAACTGTAACCAAATACCTCACGTAGTGACATTTTGTAGTTAGATATAGATAGACATTTGCATCTATTTGTTTGTATCTGTAATCGCATCGGCCCAAGGGCAATTAAGGGTTAATTTCACGCGTATTTTTTTCAACGTTCACCCAAAATTGCCCGAGTCGCGAAACGACTAAAAAATTTTTGGAAAACTTTGAAAATACGAGTGAAATTAGTCATTAACTGCCCAAGGGCACTTGCGATTCCTTGTTTATCACATAAAGGGCAAAATTTTTGAGGGAATTGCATTTGCGTACGCATACGATATCCGTGCGATGAATCCCTTTCAATGCCGCTACAAATGTCAAAACAAATGTAAGTGACCAATAGACACGCTGAACATTTTATTCATAAAATATAGTTAACAGGGCTTCATTCAGTTAAATTGCAATCAACAAATGGTTGCCGCAAACAGCAAAAAGGCTCAATCAGAATCAAGGGTAAACTACCTTTTCTCGACTGCTTGGTAAGCCGTGACGACTACTCATTACGGACAACAGTTTACAGGAGACCGACACATACGACAGATTACTGGACGAGTCATCCTACAACCCGACATAACATAAAGCCATAACTATCAGGACCCACGCGATGAGCCCAATTAATATGCAACACGACAGACAGCTCATCCGACGAGAACAAGTACCTTGACCGTGTTTTTTCAAAGAACAACTACAACGAAGACTTCATCCGACGAAACACTCACCGACCTACTACTAGTACCGAAGCTGACGACAACACAACTCCTACGACTACAGCAACTATACTGTATATGAAAGGCATATCTGAGAACATCTCGCGCACCCTACAAACATTCAATATCCGCGTCGCTCACAAACCCATTACCAAACTACGTCAGTTACTGACTAACGTCAAAGAGAAAGACGAACCGAGGAACGTACAGGGAGCAGTTTATAAGATCAATTGCTTGATTGTTCCGACTGCCACGCCTACTACATCGGCGAGACTGGCAGAAACCTCACAACTAGACTGACTGAACACAAACGAGCGACGAGGAAAGGCGATGTTAGCAATCACATTGCTGAACATCACTGACTTACGAACCACACTATTGACTGGGACTATACGCAATGCCTAACCTGCAGCACCAACTACTTTCAACGACTGACTCTGGAGAGCTGGTTTACTAGCTTAGAACAGACTCCCCTCAACAGGTGTCAGCCACTACCGGCGCCATACAAACGACTCATTCACGACATTAACATAACAAACGAACCGAACTGGCCGAAAATTTGTGCGTTTAGGCGTTTCGTTCACATGGAACCACGCCAAACGTACGAAAATTTGGACGCTCAAGCGTTCAAAAATTTGAACACCAAAATCGAGGACGAATTTTTAGCCGGTGCAGTCAATTATTTGACCGCCGCGGTGTGAACACCTTTCACGTCCGAATTTTTGTACAGCGAAGGCGCGGCTGCATGGATGCGTGGTAACTAAGTTAAAAAATATGTTTATAATTTTATATGAAGATGGAACGTGTCGGTTTATTGATTGCGGTGCTCGGTAATATTACAGTTTTGGTACATAATATCATCTTACAAATGTGTAGGACATGCCGAGCTTACCACGCACGTAGGCGACGTTGTGTTTGTATCTTGTTAATGTTAGAAAATCAAGTTAACCGTTGCTCTTCTATTTGTAAATCGAAGACGTCGAAGCAGCGAAAACACTGGATTAGACCCGGGAGGACATCACTTTGGTGCGACAATTTTGTCAACAATACTGTCGTGTTGATTGAGTGGCGTGAAAACTTTCGAATGTCCAAGGAGAGTTTCATGAAACTGTGTGACAAGGTCAGACCTTTTCTGCAGAAACAATCCGGCTACAAATATGAGATCTGCAATTAATGTTGAGAAGCAGTTAGCTGTAACTTGTACTATTTATCGACCGAGGGGAGATACCGCAAGGTTGCTAATGCATTCGGCATCGGAAAATCAACTGTGTCTGAAACTGTTCGAAGAGTTTGCAGATGCATTTCAATCGTCCTTGGGCCTGATTACATTAGATTACCAAAATCAGAAGAAGAAGTGTATGACGCAGTCGCCAATTTTTATGATGCTCATGGCTTTCCACAATGCATAGGAGCTGTTGATGGAACACATGTATTTATTAAACAACCCTTAGAAAATGCAACTGCTTACATTAACCGGAAAAACAGATACTCATTAAACGTGCAAGCCAGCTGTGATTACAGATACTGTTTCACTGACGTCGGGATAAAATGGCCGGGGAGTGTGCACGACTCCAGAATTTTCTGTAATTCTAAAATCAATGAAATGTTAAGAAATGGCTCTATACCATCTTTACCAAGGGTTCTAGTGCCTGACACTGATCCTGCTCCGATTTGTGTGCTTGGGGATCCAGCATACCCACCATTGCCTTATTTAGTGAAAGAGTTCCCAGGGGGAGGTAGTACATCACAAGAGCAATTCTTTGGGTGGCGCCTTTGTTCTGCACGCATGGTTATCGAATGTACCTTCGGCAGACTTAAGGGAAGATTTGGAGCACTGAAACGTGAGATGGACATAAATCTCGATGATTTACCTCATGTAATACACTCGTGCTTTATTCTACACAACTACTGTGAGGTGAATGGTGATCATATATCCAATGAGGCTATTGACAAAGCAATTAAGTACGGCAGGGAGTTTCAACCTGGCACTACAGCTGCTAGGAATTAAGGTACAATGGCCACTAGAAGTAAGCAGATTCGTAAAGTTTTTGTGGAGTATTTCAACTAACAATGCTGCTAATTCAAATTGGCCAATTGCAAAGAATTTTCAAACAGGAAGTATATGACTTTACCTGGTGACTCCTTCTCAGAAGTTTGGTATTTCAGAGATCACACCTAACCGGTACCATTTGACACTCTGTTGTAGTTTTAAAATGTTCAAAATTACTTTTACCCTTGCCTTTGATATTGTCAGATAGTTTCCTGTTCATACCAGTACAGCAAGATATAAGTTCTGTCCACCTTGGGCATGTTTCTATTCCAAGATACTTGTGTTGATCTTGCTAGGTAATAAAATAAAGATGAAAAGCATTCTTGTGATTGAATGTTATTCAACAAGCATGAACCTTATGAAGTTAGAAAGGGAGTACTTACAGATATGAAACTCAACAACTATTAATGGCAACAAGTAAAATAGAAGAAATTTAACTAATTGTATTGATGAAATTGCTCCTGGTACAGTATAATGCACACAAAGACGGAAAATCTCTGAGGTAAATAGTGCAATAACAAGGTAAGCCTACCCATGTCTTTCTGCCTAGTGAACAGGCAAACTGGCAGTGCATATAATAAACCATTCTATAATCCATTCTGCAATGTGGAGCTTAAAGAATGTAAACTAACGGGAAAACTTTGCATACTTTCCATGTATTTTTCTTCTGACTTTTCAAGCTGATCGATCATTCTCTTTTTCAACTGAAGTTCTTCGTGTCCAAGGGCTAACATTCTGTTTTCTGTTGTGGTTTTCTTCGTAAGCTTGGAATTTTTTTCTCTTTTAGCTTAGAAATTAAGTTTCTTCTTGCATCAACAGTTTTTTCAACTGCATCCTTGGCATTTTCATCCGAGGTTGTCACACCAGTGCTATCCTCCCTTGCAGGGTCATTTGCTGCGAAAGGTAGTAGCCCCGATTCACTTTCGTCAGGATTATCATCACCGGATATTTCTTCCGTGGTCTCAATACCATTATCCATAGCTTCGACAGCCGGACATCCAGACCATAGTTCAGCGCATTTGTCAAATAGTTTTGTTACCACTCTTCCACCTCCGCTTCGTCTTCAAGAATCTACAGCTTTCCAATAACCGAACTTTATCATCTTTATCTTTTCTTTGGAGAATATGCTAGTATCCTTACAGTTTGGAAACTGTGTTGGGTCTACTTCGAATTCATCATTGTTTGGATATCGATATATAGAGTCTGGCAAATAATGGCGGACGCTCCCCATGTGGCTACGCTTATTTCGTTTCTCCTGACGCTATTTTTTGTCAACGTGTTGCTGAAAAGCTCAAGAGATGATACCTGGCCGCCACATTCCCAAGGACAAGTCACCGAAAGTTCGTCAAATCTGGAAAATCGATGCTTCGCCATCGCTATTCTACCAGAAAATATCTATTCATTCTTTTCCTTCTAATATCTAACTGAACCCTGGGCCTCTCAATTCCTCGACTCTCAAATCATGCAGTCTAAATGCCCGTAGTATCGTCAACAAGAGATCTGAGCTGCAAGCTATGGTCGCTACAAAGGAATTAGACATCATCGCTATAACTGAAACATGGCTGAACCCTGAAATAATGGATCAAGAAATCCTGTCATCTGATTATAATATCTACCGAAGAGATCGCCTCGGAAAAGATGGTGGTGTTTTGTTAGCTCTAAGGGATAACGTTTGTTGTTATAGACGTTGTGACCTCGAAACGGACTGTGAAATCCTTTTGGTGTGAAGTTCATTTCAATCCCTGCTCAACATACTTTATTGGAGTAGACTACCGCTCTCCAAGCAGCGATATGGCCTACCTAACTGAACTGGTCCAATCGCTAGAAAAACTTCCACCATCATGTAATATCCTTTTGATTGGGGATTTTAATCTACCCAATGTTAACTGGAACCTTGTAGCTCCATGGCAGCCGGACATTATCAGCGATTTCTTCTGCGACTCTGTTATTAATTGTTTTGGCCTCTCACAACTTGTGAATAAACCCACCAGAGGAGACGCTTTATTGGATTTAATCTTAACCAACACTCCTGCTCATTTGGCTAATGTTGAGATAGACTGTGGCCTTGGAAATTCAGATCATAACGTTGTTTGTTTCGACTTTAATGTCTTTATTTCCCGTCCACATCAAGCTCCAAAGATCGTTTACGATTACAAAAATGCAAATTGGGAAGGTTTTCGCTCTGATCTTTCCAATGCCCCATGGGACAATATATTCTTAGAGAACAATGTTGAACAAATGTGGACTAAATGGAAAGAATTGTTCTTTGCTGCTGTTAATTAAAACATCAATACACATCATTTGAAAAGAAAAAGAAATGTTCCTTGGTTAACATATGCAATTCGTCGCCTTTTTCACAAACGGAAACGCTTATGGAAAAAAGCTAAATCATCTCAACTTCAATCTGACTGGGAAAAATATAAGCAGTGCAGAAACAAGGTCAAATCTGAAATAAACAAGAGCTATTGGCACCATGTTCAGTCTCTTCAAAACAGTAATAATCCTAAACGTTTCTGGACTTTCATAAAATCTAAGACGAAACCACGATCTATTCCACCTGAAGTATATCTAGAGAACCAAAAGGCTTCAAACAGCTTCGATAAAGCACAGCTATTCAACAACTTCTTCTCATCGGTTTTTATTGGTATTCCTGAGAAGTTACGTGACGATCTTCAACCCTTTACTGATCAAGTTATCTCAAGTCTACTTTGCTCTAAATCTGAGGTCGAGAAATTGCTCATTGGTTTAAACGTTACAAAAGCTCATGGTCCGGATGGGATATCAGCGCGTATGCTTCGCGAGGCTGCACCAGCTATATCAGAGTCCTTGAAAAATTTATTTAACTTTTCACTCCAATCTGGCACCTTGCCTGTGGAATGGAAATCTGCTCACGTCATTCCAATTTTCAAAAAGGGCCAAAAAGATCTAGTCAAGAATTATCGTCCTATCTCTCTTACAAGTCTGCTTGTAAAGACCCTGGAAAGACTGATATACAATCGCATTTTAGGATTTATTGAATCAAATAATCTACTTAGTAGTCATCAGTATGGCTTTCGTCCTGGCTACTCCTGTACCTCTTAGTTGATACACCTTTTCCATGAATGGGCCAAAGCACTAGGTAAACGCCTCTCTACCGATGTAATATTTCTGGACTTCGAAAAGGCCTTCGACTCAGTTCCTCACGACCGTCTTCTACTCAAATTAGAACGCTTTGGCATTACCGGCTCTCTACTTTCCTGGCTATCCAATTTTCTCCAAGGTCGATCTCAGCGTGTTGTAATCGAGGGCTGCCAATCTGACTGGGCGCCTGCTACATCTGGTGTTCCACAGGGGAGCATTCTTGCCCCCCTGTTATTTATCCTATACGTCAATGACATCCCTGAATCTTTATCAAGTCCTGCAGAAATGTTTGCTGATGATATGTTAATCTATAATTACTGTCCTCCATCTCAAACGTCCATCACTGCCCAGGAGAGTCTAGATAAAGTCACTGATTGGTGTGGCTCGTGGCTTTTAGGAACAAATGCGAGTCCATGAAGTTCACCAGGGCTAGAACTCCCTCTCCGTGCAACTACACTATTAATAGCAAGCTACTTACCCAAGTATCTACACACAAACATCTTGGGGTGGTTCTTTCCAGTGATTTATCTTGGAAACCCTACGTACTGTCTGTTGTTGCAAGATCGAACAGATTATTGGACTTACTCAAGCGGACATTTGGATCTCACTCTAAGGCTCTATTTACTGGTTACTGCTCAAATATGCAAATTTTCACCGTGAATATTACCCGAGTTGTGTGACCTCATGTAACGAATGTACTAGACCTTCGGTATTTCTGTGAACATAATCCTTTGTTTTATCATCTAAACTTAATCCCCTGTCGTTATTGAAGCTGGCAAAGAAATATTTATTTTTTGGTGAATATTTTTGTCCAACATACTTTTCCTATGCCGAAAAGTAGCATCAAAACAAAGACAGTTTTGACAGTGACCAATATGACACAATCCTTTGAGCTTCAAGCTTTTAAAAGACCTAAGGATGGTTATAAAGTTACTGTAAAAATTTCCTTGTGTATTTGTGCTGTTCCATCTTGAGACGAACTCAAAGTCCGGCAAAATTTTCTTGATAGCGAGTATGAAATGTACATGGTGCACCTACTTGTCGCCACCGTTAATTGGCATAAATCACACCAATTTGTAAAAAAGTCCAACACACAATCTTACCTTGTTTATTTATGACTTTAGTAGCCGTTTCGATTATTATATTACGCCTGGGTATTACTTTTTGACAGGAGCTCAGGTTTTGCGTTGTGTTTTCCCCTCCCTCATTTATATCATAAGCTAGTCACGTAATAATTGATACCGACACAAGTGAATATTTACCATTTATAAAGATTTTTGTTTACGTTGAATTGAAAATATTAAAATATGTGCTTTCTTCACTAATCGTTGTTTCAGCGGCAGCGAAGCAGTCAAAAGCGGGTTGTTGCCTCAAGGCTACTGAAATTTTTACTATTCAGACAGGCGAGCAAAGCGTGATGCTCTGGGAACTAGACCCTGTGAGCAGGGTAACTGGGATACCTGGATGGTACTGGATCCCTGGAATCAAGTGTAGTGATACTATGGGTGTCGGACTAGTATACTGAAATAGTGAGCTCAAGTCTGGCTAAAGGCATACACCTATTTCAAAACACAGGCATGCTCTGCATGCAAGAGTTATTTTTTATAGGGTGGGTGGATTACTTGAAACATTGTAAGTGGACTACATTCTTACAAAAGGAAAGAAGAGTATTAACGCGGAAAAGAATGAAAATGCGAATTACCTCACACACAGGTATTTTGTGGTAGATTATATGTGTTGTGCGAATAAATGTCACCAAAAATAAACTGTATTGGTGCCACGGATACCTGTTACTACAAAATGCAGACAGCAGACTGCAGACCGGACATAAAATATAGACTGCAGACTGCAGAGTGGGTACAAAATGCAGACTGAGAATCTGAAGAGTTTTTACGTCTAGTATATAATAACATGTCATCTTATAGCTTACCGAGCGTCACGCAATCGCTTTTCCGCGATCAGCCTTCACGATTATTTGCACTTTTGTGGAAAATTCCTGGCCCATTTCTTGATGAAAATCGATCCTAATATAATTTCAAGCCTTCAATATAGTCTTCTTACTTTGCACGCGAGTTGGTTGGTGTGATGTCTGCACAGATTTTACCAACGTAATAAAAGTAGATGACGTGAATAACAGTGATGGTAGAACAAGCTTAAAACGGCAAAAATCGCCAGAAAATACAACGGATACACAGGGTATGCGTAAGTTTTATTTATTTTACGAGAAAAATGTTCATATTTCGAAATATGTATCGTTGTAAATCGACCATACTTCGTTCCCTATACTATTCCTTATAAGGTGCAGTTCCTCTCGTAACTTAACACCGAGTCACACAACGCGTGACGCGTTCATGAATTAATCGTTGGCTTTTTCTCGAGACGTGACCTTGGGCCGCCTGTGACAAGACAATTGCGTAAACAATATTTAACATAATAACATTATACACATTATACAACAATTTATATCTTTCAATGAAAAGTTCTTGTAATTCCTCAGATCTTGTTCGTATCGATTCCCATTCTTCCCCCTCGCACGTTTTCTCATTTTTATATGATAAAGCAACATTAAGCAGTAGTGCTGTCTCCTCATCCGTCCAAGCGAAATATTCGTTATCCGTGCTACCATCCGAATTGGCTTTCCTCTTTCTGGACGCCATTTTGCATTTGGTTAAAGAAATGTTGTGCGCATGAGGAGATGGTAAAACCACTGACAAGTGTCACAGTTCCATCTGAACAGAAGGAAACTTTCGCACGGTTCCGTGTGAACAGAATGTCCGGTCGAAATTTTCGACCGGTCGAAAATTCGTTCGGCACCGATGTAGCCTAACTCTACTAACGGATCGAGACCGACCAATCACGGCTGACCAAGACGCCACTTAAGCCTTACAGCCAATAACATCACGGGAAAACTGACCGATCAGTTTATACAAACCGGACTAAGAACATTCGACTGACAACAACTATTCACTTGACTCTGATGATGACCTCCGCTCAGGTTGTCGAAACGTCAGTCACCACGACCGACAACAGTCCTTCTCAGGACTACACTCACCCGGACGATCAAACTACACTATAACATGTTATCCCCTGGTTCAAACCATTTACTGTAATAATAATAATGATAATAATAGTATATGTCATAAACATAACATAAATATCTAGGTATCTGAGATCGTAGCGTAAAATCTATAACATTTACTCCCCTTCAGTTCAGCTGTCTGATATATGCAGACTTCTCGAGCAGGTACAATTTCAGTGGTTTCAGATCAGGCGCCCAAGATCTCTAGAAGGTTGCGTGTCAAACTTTTTCACGCAAAATCGAAAAACCTCTACGGATGTGCATGGGATTTCAGGTCATTTTCCCAAGAAGGTTATAACACGATAAAATTTTTCAATCAAAACGTCAAACCCTTACTTCCCACTGGCTATTTTCCTCATCTGGTGTGATTAAAGCCATTTTTTCTTCGCCGTCTTTCCTTTCATAAATATCATTCAATATATCTCATAAGACGTTTTGGCGTGTTGTATCGCGGAGTATTTTTACGAGTTGAGCTGTATTTTGACGAATCCGCAGGGTGAGTCAAAATACAAACAACGATTTTTACAATTATTTATCTTTATGCAAGTTTTAGAAGGCGGGAAAAGTGAAGTAAACAGAGAAGCGGTTTGTGACAGGTCTTGCGTAATGCTCGGGTCGGATTGGCTTATGAGACGTCAACTTGTCACATAGGGTGTCAAAACGATTCAAAGTTGAATTTGTTCTCAAATCGTGCGCATTTAAAAGTACTACAAGTACAAAAGTGTTCGTTTTTCAATGAATAATTTATCGCCAGTAACAAAGCTTTGAATCTACCGGGAGACAAACTCTCAAAGACAGGGATGAGCTGTAAGAATATCAAAAATAATTTCCAAAACTAATTTTCATCATCCGAGTCAGTCATACGGTGACGACGCAGGAATCGCTGCCGTTACTTGAAGAGCTAAGGGTTGTCAACCAAGAACAATGGTACAGTTGTTAAATACGGCACCAGAGAAGGCAAGTGAAGCCAAACTGTCAAACAGGTCTTTTTTAAAGTACAAAATAACCAACTGTCCTAAAAACCGTACATAATCGCGGGATATTTGTTCTCTACTTTGTGCAATCGAATAATAAGTTGAAATATCCATATCGCTTCTGTAGAGCCTCGACTTCGCGTTCTCATACTCAGTTTTCCCTCTACGGGTACGAATATTTCTCACGTGAGCTATTATGACGCTTAAAAACAGTAAAATCAATTAACGGCTCATTTGATCAGTTAGTTTCGTGGTACAATGGGCATCTAAACTTAGAGGTCTTCATAAAGTGGCAAGCGTTCCCTTCAAAATGCAACCTTTGTCAAGGAACATTCTTACTTTGGTAGTAATCATAGTTTTCGTTGGTGAAGGCCAAACCTTTAGAGGGACGCGTCTTGAAAACGATTACTGTAAGTTCACAGTAGTATTTTCAATTTCACCTAATTATCTATTGGTTCATTTTTCCCGTCAGATCCCGAATTTTGAATCAGTTCTGTGCATCGTTGTCGAAGGATACTAAGGAGTGATTGTCATAGTTTTTTCTTTTCTTGTAGGAAGATTTTCCCACCTTAAGTATGTGATGTTCAGTACTCGCTCACTGTGAATGAAAGGCTGATTCAGTTCGAGTAAACTATTGGACCGATGACAAAATTTTCTCTTTAAAACGATGTTTAAACTGAGCCCATGGTTTAATAGATTATTAGGAGAGTCATGTTTGCTTTTCTCTTGCAGAGTTTTGAAACATTAGATCTAAATAGCTAGTAATGAAGAAAAATTACTCTCATGAAAACTTCCTTCTAACGGTTTCAACGAGCTCTTGCCATGACGTAATGTGCAAATCATTGAACTCAATTGAAGCTTTGCTCGAGAAAACTTCGCCTTGAACGGATGCGTTTCTAACACGAGAGCAAGAACAAACCAGAGAAACAGATAACGTGTGACTTCTCTGATATTGATCAAATTCCGGTTTAAAAATTGACTAACAATATCAGGTCATCAACAGCCAATTTGGGTACTATTACGACATTGCACACGTAATGTAAAAGTTTACGAGACATTTGCGCGCGCTATTGTTCCCTCATACTTCATTTTTTTCTCTTTTTTTCATGTAAATGACGGGCAACATATGTTATTCACCAAGCGGGAGGTCTGTATTGGGAAAACTGAGCCCGAAGGTCTCGGATGCTACCCAAGGCCGCCGCAATTGTTATCATGGCTAGTAAAGCGTCGCTTATCATTTCAACATTGTTTTTTTCCTTTAAACAGCAACTTGCTATGGAGGTTCAAAGTGTATAAGCAGTGCTCAATGTAGAGGCTATAGATGCCGATGTAAGCCGGGCTTGGCCGGAGATGGAATTCATTGCACACTTGGTAATGACCTATTTGTCTATAGCCTTCAGAGCGGGCGTAATTTTGGCGAGCGAGTGCTTAATATCCTTTGCGACAAGTATGGCCGCCATCTTTGATTTCAATGGCGGCGGTAGGCTGAGGAGAGAAAATAATTTGTGCCAGGGGGGTGAGTGACGGTCAAAAATAAGGAGAGAGTTGTGGGTGGAGGAGTGAATATTACTTTTCGCCTTTCCTCCCCCCCCCCCCTCTCCTTCCTGTTGTCTCTATCTCCAAATCAAACATGACCGGTTGCATAAACGATCTCGAGCTTCTTAAAAGTTAACTCGCCCTGATAAGACCCCTGCACTGCACGCTAATTTGTTTACTTCATTTGATACTTGCCAAGCTCCGGATCGAAGACACGTGGTCTCGATCTCTAGTTGGGTCTAAACGGCGGAAGGGCTGAAAGACAGAATGGCGGAAAATTACCCCATATCCTAAAAGACGGAATGGCGGAAAATCACCCCAAATCCCAAACGACAGCCAACATAATGTGACACGTTACGAGCCAAGATGATTTTTGTTTTAGTATTGATTTCATTTCCGCGGAAGTTGTCATCATGAGGGGAAGAAAGGACGAAGAAAGATCTCATTCACTTTCGTACACGACCAGAACACCGCTACGATATAGCAAAGGAACAGACAATAATGAGTGGGAAGTGTGTACCATTATTCCGTCTTTTAGGATTTGGGCTGATTTTCCACCATTCCGTCTCTTAGGACTTGGGGTAATTTTCCGTCGTTCCGTCCTTAGGATGTGGGGTAATTTTCCGCCGTTCCGGCTTTTAGGGTCGCCCCTACCGTGTTGTGCTGATGAAAGGAGTACAAAGACCTTATGCCCATCTCCTCCCCTCCTTGGATAAGAAATGGATAGTGAACTCCTGGGGATCGAAGATGCAATTAAGTCACCAAAAGACATCTGCAGAATTCTGCCGTACAGCACATTATTTTTGAATTATAAGTAGCGTTAATAATTCGAATCAAATAATTAAGGTTCACTTATTTTGTTAGCTAACTTTGTCTTATGTTTTCATTTTAATCAGGGAAGCCGGCGAAATGCTCAACAGCCAAAGATTGTGATAAAAACGCAGTTTGTATGGATGGAGGATGCCATTGTTTGGGCGAATTTTTAGGAGACGGCAAAACTTGCTCTCGTAAGCGACATTCGTTTTGAAATAGAGCGTGTTTCGATTGAGTATCGTGAAACCTTTGACAGCCGAGTTGGAGTAAACGAATTAATTTCCAAGAGCTTTTAGATCCGTGGTGCTGACCAGAAGGACCGAGAACAGAATTTGCGTAGGTTTTCAAGCATCGCAAGATTGATTGACAATCTTTTCTCGGAATCAGCAGATGATCAGAGATCGAAGTTCCATGATGAACCTAACGAAAAAAATGAACATGTATCCCTTCACAATATGATTGATTTCTTTTTTCAGGCAGAATTAAAAAACTTCATTGTAATACAGTGGATTTTTGCGGAGATAAAGGAATGTGTGTGGTTCACGAAGACCTTCCTAGCACTCCCCTCTGTAAATGCCTGATTGGATACGTGTTAAACGACAAGCAAATGTGTGTCGGTGAGTCACCATGTGGGGCTGTAATACTAACTTATTGACTGAGTGGGGGAGGGGAGGGTCGTACGAGAAAAAATCTGGCTAAAGGTAAGAATCGAGAGTCAAAACTTTTCTTGTTCAGCCCAACCTAACTCAGCCATTAGGCATTTTATCGCGCGCGACCGTTGCTCCTCCCTCATCCTTCTTTTTGCTCGCTGTTCGCGGGGCCTTGTGGCTTTTTTCAGCCCTGCGGCCAACATGCGGAATTTTGTCTAAGGGTTTTCTCCGAATTTTAAGGCGAATTACAAACAATCTAAAGCTTTCTTTTTGCGGCGCGCTGAATGAAACGTTTAAAAAGGACTAACTATCGTTGCCGTTATTTTTCATTATTCTTATCACTTGTCTGTTTGATATTGTAAAGAAAAATTCTATCTTGGTCACTTGGAGTACTTACAGGGTTGAGGAAGATAATTTAAAGATCTGAACGGGTAAAATCTTACAGTGCAGAGATTCGTTAAGGATTATGGCCTTAATTCTTATGTTTCAGCGTCAAACATACCATGTACAGACGACAAAGATTGCTCTTCTAAGGCCAAGTGCGATCATGGACTATGCGTTTGTCAAGGAAACCGAGTGGGAAACGGCCGCGAATGCAGAGGTAACCAGTCAAGTAGACAAAGAAGAGCAATGTACTGATGCTCATCGTCGAGTCTCTGATGCTCAGTGCTGCATTGCGTCAGGGCGGGTAATCCGAGGGTCTGAGGTTTAATTCTGCATGGGGAATATTTCCCTAGTCTCACTTTTATGACATAACGATAAAACATCTCTCTCATTTATCAAGATAACGTTCTCCATTTCGAGTCTCATGAGGAAAGAAATGTGAATTTTGCATTTTGTAGACGCCAAGCCATGCACAGGGAAGCATAATTGTCTCGGAAGTAGTAAGTGTCTCGTTGATCCAGTGATGCCAAAAGAGAAACTCTGCAAATGCCCACCGAATCAAGTTCACCAGGTTGCCTCTAACAAAGAATGTGTCGGTAAGTTCACTTTTTGATTGATATAATTAATTTATACTTGGGCTTTTAGAGATATATGGGGAAGGGTACAGTGCTCTGAGGCCAGAGAATTTAATTGTCGAAAGTTGGGAACCAATCTGAGGAAGTTTTGATTAATGTGTATCAATATTTAATACCTGAGAAAGGGACATTTCCTTAAATCCAGCTAGAAGGCCGGTTTTCCTTTTTTTTTAACTTCAACAATGCAATCTTGCCTAAACTTTCAGTTCGTATTTATATTTTTAACAAAGGGCCTGTTCACATGGAGGTGGGGGACCCCAGGTAAGTGAGGTAACCCGCCTGTCCATATAATTTCTTATTTTATCTTGATCACGTTTACATGATAAGTGGGGTGACCCGCCTAGGCGGGTTGCCCGGTCTGTAAGTTAGGGTAACCCTGTCAGTCGGGATGACAATTTGCCATGTAAACGTCTCAAGGTGGGGTAACCCGCCTAGCCGGGATCCCGTTCATGGCAAAAAGCTCAAAAGCGAAGCATGTATATTAACTTTGTACATTTCATAGCCGTCTCATGGCAGAAATCACCAGAAACCGCAACGGACACACAAGGAGTGTAAAATGTTCACATTTCGGAATATTTAGCGTTGTAAATGGACTATATTTTGTTTCCCAAACTATTCCAAATAACGCATTAAGTCAACGGTTCCTCGCGCAACCTAACACCGCATAACACAACGCGTGACGCTTTCAAGAACAAATACAAATGTGTCCGAGAATTAATCTTTCGTCTTTCTCGAGATGTGAGCTTGGGACACCTCTGCTAAAACTCGTTAATTGCAAACGCAACAACAACCTGACCCCAGGGTTGTAAGATTGTACGTAAACGCGTTTCATTTTTCGACCACGGCTATGGGGTCTGCCATCTCCATGTAAACAGGCCCAAAAACTCGTCGTCGACCACTTGGGGAGGACGAGTTTTTTCAGGTTGTGTAACCGTGACAGACCTTGTGCGCATGGTCAGTATGCGCGCGCAACAAAACTGTTACACTAACAATACCTATGTAAGCATTACGCGCTTCTGATAGTTGTAACATGAGTGCAAAGCTGTAACACCAGTTCAAATTACAAATAGCACGCGCGCTGTCAAAATTTCGTCTGTCCTCACTTTCTGTGATGCTTTTTTCATGCTAATCATTATCAAGTAACAACATGATTTCTTGCGCAATTTGATTTAAATAAGCACTTGTAAATTTTCAAGACTACAGATTGCACTCGCCCGGGCATACACCAAATTGCACTCGAAATCATGTTATTACCTGGGCATGTTTTTCTCGAAATTTGTTGCAGACTGCGTGACTGACAAGCATTGTAAAGGTGCAGAGCTCTGTGAGGGTTTTAAGTGCAAGAAACCTGGTAAGACTGCCGTTTTAGCAAATCCAAATTACTTTAAGAATTTCTGAAAGTGTTTGTCCGTGTGAGAGGGGGGAAAGGGGATTACTTGAGTCGATTTTAGCTTTGAGTTGATTTTTTAGTAAAAGGAAAAATCCTGGTATTTCATCAGTATCTATATAATAATGCTAAATATGCTATTCAAAATTTGTAATGGTAGTTAATTGTTCTCTGTCAACCGTTAGTAACAGTCAGCTAAATAACTATTTTTTAAAACAGATTTACATCCGTGTGATTCGTCCAAGGACTGCGATAAAAATGCCGAATGCCGCGATAAAAAGTGTCACTGCAAGGAAAAGTACGCTGGGAATGGACGTCGCTGCACAGGTATAGCGACAGTGGGGAAATGTAGGAGATCAGAACCGTCTCCTCCTATTCAAATTTGTGGGGCTTTCACCTCTTTTATGACGCTAAGATTCTTGCAAAGATAAAATACATACTACTTTGGGTATGCAGATTTACTTGTCTAGAAATATTTCCTGGTCTACTTAAAGCTCTAAAGTTAAAAAGAATTGTTTGTTTTCTGATTTAAATTTTGGACCCCTTTGTTAGAAAACTCATTTACGAAAACAGGGGCTAGAGTTCAAACTACGTAGACTTGGTAAAATTGCAAACAAAGTGGTAACAACTTTGCGCGAACAAAAGCTGAAAAAATCCAAGTAAACTCAGTTAAAACAAACAGCAAAAGTACGCGGAAAATGTCCACTTCAGTTTTCCAATGTCAAGGTTAGAGTTCTTTGACGTGATTTGCTATTCGTTACTAAAAAAGGGAATACATAGAGGGGAGAGAAAGATAAAAATTGTTATTTGAAATTTAAAAGCGAAAGAAATTTTTTACACCCCCCCCCCTCCAGCCCCCTTCCTTATCAAAATTTCCTGTGTCCTTCTCTGCAACGAATGATAGTACATTTCAAAGCTACATTTTCCAAGGTAAGGATAGGTTAATGTTTTGCGAGAAGATGCACACCTTGATAAGTGCACACAATTGAGCCACCTTTCCATGTTATGAAGATGTTAAGCTAAAAAAAGTCCATATAATATAGCCTAACATTCGTTTTCGTTTTACTGTTGATCAATCTCCTAGCTAGCCATGCAAACGATCAATAATTCAGTCAGTAAATCAGTCAGTAATTTTTTCAGTCATTCAGTCAGTCAGTCAGATAAATAAACAGTCAGCCAGTCAGTTGGTTAATCCATCAGTTAGCCAGACAGTCTGTCATGCAGCTGGTCAGTCAGTTACCCGGTCAGTCAGTCGATCAGTCAGTCGATCAATCAGTCAGCCAGTCAATCAGTCACCCAGTTAATCAGTCACCTAGTCAATCAGTCAGCCATTATTTTATTCATTCAGTTAATTAGATGATTAAAAAGCTGTTAGCGGTTCAGTCGGTTAAGCTGCCAGTTAGGCAGACAGTCAGTTGGTCAGTCGGTCACATGTGAGTGGGTGAGTCAGTCCGTCCGTGGTCAGTCAGTCAGTTACCCGGTTAGTCAGTCAGTTAGATAACGAAATAAACTGTCAGCCGTCTAGTCGTTTAATCTGTCAGTTAGCCAGACAGTCAGTTGGTCAGTCAATCCGATGGCCACTGAGTCAGCTGGTGAGTTAATCAGTCAGTCGGTCAATGAGTTACCAGGTCAACAGGTCAATTAGATAATTAGATAAACTGTCTGCTGTTCACTCGTTTAATCTGTCACTCAGTCGGACTATCAGTCAGTCAACCAATCAATCAATCGATCCGTCATTATTTCATTGATTCAGACAATCAGATAGTTAAATAAACTGTCGGCCGTTCAACAGGTTAATCTGTCTGTGAACCTCAGTCAATCAATGCAGTCAGTCAGTCAACAGTCATTCAGTCAGACATCAGGGCAGTTGCTCAGTGACTCAGACTGACCGATAGCAGAGCCAACAGTCAGTCAGCAAGCCGACGAAACTAGAATAATCGATAGAGAACTCCTCTTGCAAAAAACGTGCTTACTTTTTATGGGTCTGCACTATTTGATTTGCGATCTGAAAACGTTGGGTCTTCCTTCTTTTTCGTTTCTTTTCAAATGAACTATCACTAATTGTGGTTAGAATGCAACTTGAGTCTATTACTTCTTTCATACGATGTAATGTTTTAATTCCATTGTTTTCTATCACAGAGTCCTTACCGTGCCCAGTCGCGCATGAATGCGATGCCAACTCAACTTGTATTAGAGATCCCAACTATCCTTATAGTCCTTATTGCAGATGCAAAGCCCATTATGAGAAGTCTGATGATGGCGCCTGTGTAGGTAAGATCAAAAAAGATCAAATTCTTCAATAGCGCTATTTATTTGAAGCCCATTCACCCCGGACTTGATAAATTTGAAAACATTGTTTTCATTCTGAAACTTCCCCTAACATTTCCATCCACGCCGTGCCGAATAAACTTCGCCAAATGCAACAGTTTTGGTGACAGAAACGCTTTACATTTGCATAATGGGAATAAATCAATCATTTCGTCAAAAATTAGAAACAGTGATCTCGGCATTTTCGAAAAGCTACATTTGCGCTCCGAGTTGGTGTCAGTGGACGGTGCTGGTGGTGCGCGATGTTGATGAGTCGTCAGTGTGCATCTCCAATTTATGAATCACTGTAACAAACCCAACGTTGAATGTCTTTAGTCATCTTTTTTTTCTGTTTACATGGAAGAGAGGCAGATTACCACTAGTAGAGTGTTGTAGATTTTAAGATTGGTCATCAAGGATGTACTTTTGTTTATCTATGGATCATTATTGTCTTCTTTTTTTTTCAAGAAATTACTGAGTGAACATTTGAAAAATGTGTGCTTTAGTGGAGAAGTTCGCAAAATAATTGTTGACAATCAATTTTAATAATATGATGGACTAAAGTTAAATTACTTCGGGACTACCTCCTCCCTTGCATGAATTTTTATGTTCTAGTCAGTCAGACATCTCTTATTCTCGTCTCAGTGCATATTTTTTAGCGCGGGGGTTTCAAATATATTTTCCGAGGTGCATGAGCAGAACACATTGCAATCAAACAAACATAGAAGACTAATTTTTAGGGGTAACATAGCGTGTATTTATCTTATATTTATTGTATACATGCAGATATAGACGAATGCAAAACTCCAAACAAGTGCCCAGCTAAGCACAAATGTGTAAACATGCCTGGTGCCTATGAATGTTCTTGTAAAGAAGGATACGAGAAGGGAGATGGCGACGAGTGCGTGAGTAAGTACCACCGAAACTTCCAATTCGAGATTTTTCGTAAAGGTTTGAATAATTTAAATCCCTGATGCTGACCAGGCAGTTTGCTGCCCCAAAGGTGCTGCTGCATACAGAGTAGTTTCTCAAAGAATTTCCGATCATACACAGTAGTTTCTCAAAGAATTTTCGATCCCCACGCGTTTGTAAAATCGGAACGAGAATTCTCTGTTACCGGTTTGGTTTATTCAGGAACCTTCTGCACACGCTTTGCTGGAATAGGGCAACGAAGTTCCCATGCGCAACAACAATGTAAAGCTATGTTTTTCTGTGAACAATTTTCTTCTCGTGGCTAGTTGTCCTTGCGTTCATCCGAGTTAGCTGACCCTAAGAGTATTGCAACATCGAGCTTTTCATCGAAGAGGTCAAGAAAAGCAAAGTTCTTTTTGCTCTTCTCCAGCTTAACAAGCAAATGCATGTGATTTACTTTTATAGAAATGAAATGTTCATGCGGTGACAATGGTAAGTGCGATGACGACGGAAAGTGTACTTGTAATGAAGGATATGAAAAAGATGGAGAAGGAGTATGTGAAGGTAAGTGATTACCTTTACTTGCCTCATCATAATGGTCTTTGGATTGAGATAAACCGATAAATTTCTATGTGCTGCGTAGCTCTTTGGTTAAATTAGAGTGCGTGCAAAGTGTCATGGCTTTGAAAAATCTCCATACGATATTGGTTTGTTCGTTGTTGGGAACAACGGCCGCTGCAAGATTTGTTGTGGTAAGGGGCGAAGAAGTAAATGCATTTTCCGTGCAACAAGAGAACTAGAACACCAGAAAGAAAACTTTGTATGCTCAAAAGTTTTTCAAGGAATTTCTCTAAAGTTGCGACAAAAGATAAATTTTATTCTGTTTGTGCTAAACAACCTCCAGCTGTTCAAAAGTTCGCAGTGAAAAGAGTCTGAAAATAGCAGTATCTGATAATTTAGGCTTAACAGGCGGTGTTATATGTAAACCTTGATCATAATTTGGGAATCGGGTATTTTGTTTGTATGAACACAGTATTTAAATAACAACCAGCTTTTCAATCTTTACCTTGAATATCTATTATACTTATAATAAAAAGAAAACTACACGTTAGCTCGAAGATATAAATTTTATGTTCGAGTGGCAAGAGCAATAGCTCACTAGTTCGATGCACTCCCTCGTGAGATATTGTTCTTGCCACTCGAACATAAAATTCATATCCATGCGCCACCGTGTAACATCCTCCATTCATCATTTTCTTTTCTTTTATTATACTAGACATTGACGAGTGTAAAAAAGGGGCAAAGTGCACCGGTGATGGAGAGAAGTGTGTAAATGAACCAGGGGGACACTCTTGCTTATGCAGAGCGGGATATGTGAATAATCATGGAGGATGCGTCAAGGAACCTCGTAAGAATTTGTTGGCATAATATGAATGTTCTTGTATATGATAGCGTCCTCGAGTAAATTGATCTGCTTCCTGATGAGGGATACCTTAATCCTAGGTCTCTCTCCTTTTCGTCAACCAAAATTGATGGTCATACGTGATGCTTATTAGGTTTTTAAACTGTATTAGTCTGCGACTCTTGCAATAAAGAAAGAATTTGAAACGTCACAAGCACTGATAAGTAACGAAACACATGCACTATCCCTCGTGGAATTGCTTAGAGCTGGTTAATCAAGTGAAGGTGGACATCAGTAATACTAGAGGATAAAGTTCGTATTCAAGGGCAGGCATACAATATCCTCTATCTATCTTGAACAGAATGCAAGTGTACATCGCACGAAGAATGCTTCAACGGAAAGTGCAGGTGCAAGAGAGGATACAAGAGGAACTCAAAAGGGATGTGTGCTCGAAAACGTAAGTACTATTCACGAGTGAAAAAAGGTGCGAACGAGTAAAAAAGAACAAATACAGAACTGAAAGTTCTAGACGTATCCTTTTAATTTGGATACTTAGACTCTGAACTCTAATTGTGCAGCGGCTCTTACTTTCCTGGTATGAATTTCCATCTGTTCGTCATTTGGAGGATAAATTGTGTTAAGATCACTTGATTGAGCCAATGGTGTTCTTTGTTATCAGAATGTATTTCAAAGGGTAAGAAATATCTATTTAGTCTGATAGAGAGCGAGAGAAAATATATTTAACAATCTTTGATCATATTATTCATTTTCTATATTTCTATGTTATTCATTTTCTATTTTTTTTTAAGGTGGCTTAGTTGGTTCAGGCTACTCTGTACACGTCACCAGTCACCTGGGCACCCTCGGCCTCGTCCTTATGCTGCTTGGGCGCTTGGCCGTTACAGCATGAGGAACCGCGCCTACTGCTTGCTTTGCTGCTGCATGCTCATTCTTTTAACTTTTCTCTTTTTGTCTTACAAAAACATCTGTATGAAATTACTGTATTTGTAAGAGAATACTTCTATACGTGGTACAAATCTATACGGATGATTCAAGAAAGTTTGAAAAAATTATATTTTTAACTCCTTACACTGATATCTACCCTTTCAAACATAATTTTTCACGTTCAAATAACTATTTATCTGAACCTCATCAATTGTACTCTTTCACTCGTTGTTTCATTGAGTTTGTTTCGTGTCTCTTCAAAGATTTCTTACTATTTTTTAACACAACCATCAAGTCCTCTTGTTATCCTGAATGATGTGAAGTTACGTGAAATTTTTCCTGATATTTGATGTCAAACATTACCAGAATTGAACTTCTTACCTTGTCAATCAATAAATTTGCTTCGCCTTGCTTTGCTCGCTTAGAAAAAAATGTTGTCTTTGATGATCTTTTGTCTGTATGAATCGGGTCTCCCGGGAAGACGCGAGGGAATATATATCGCACAATCTCAGCTGACTGAAAATCTCCCTTTGATGATTGAGAGGATGAAATTATCAGTCATGATGAAAAGCAACGGAGTCAATAGCTTACTTAAACTTTTAAACAACGAAAAAGGTTACATTCCTTAAAAAAAAAATTCTTAAAAAATCTCACTTCCGGAGTAGAGCGACCTATTCAGGTTTTCGATTGGGTTATACTAGTTTAGGACTGGGGCTCAAAAGAAATAAGTATGTACTTAAACAATTATACGTGAATAGCCTAAAACGCGCGCACCGATTGGCTACTCAAACTCCGAATATAGTTTGTTAGTATATGCCACTAAGGTTACTATTCACCTCTTCACAATGATTGTTAATAATGAAATTTTCAACTCCAAGTGGTGCATTTCTAGTGTTCTGATTGGTTTATCAGCTCATTTTCTGAATCACTTTATAGAAATGCATTGCACCAACTGTTGCGGAGCTGGAAAAAGGCTCCGCCAAATAACCAAACTTTTCGCACTTGTTGGATGCAAGACTGGTTAAGCCAAATCAACGCTACGCGCCATGTTGGCTATTTACCATCACATTTTCAATGCGCGCTCATGGAGTAATCAGTTAACTACTCACTTCCGAGTAACACGCGTGGGATTTGCACCCAAAAATTTTATAATCGTTGCAGGAATGAATGAGTCAAACTCATCCTTTTGTGCTACATTATCTTACTGCTTTAGTATACACTACAATAACTATTCACCTTAGTATCGGTGGTTAGCGGTGGATATCTGCTTCGTTGTTCGGTAAATATCCACCTCCAGCCACCTCTACTTCAATAAATAGGTAAATAGTTGAAAGCATACACTGCAAAAAGTATAATTATTAAGTGAAAAACTCAAAAAGTAAGAGTGTTTGAACTGAAATATGAAGTTTTCACTGAAATTAGCGTAATTATGTCAACCAAGTGTACTTCGCTCTCAAATAAGAATCAATTTCCCTTAAAAAAAATTGAGGCCCCAAAACAAGAAAAAATTACCCCTTTTAAAATAATATTCCCTTAACAAAGAGTCACTTAAAATGCATTGCACTTATATCAGTGTCTTCTATTTCTTTTAAGTGTATCTGCTTGGAGGTAGGTTCAAATTCCCTAAAGAATGTACTTTAATATTTTACTTATTTTAAAATCCTTATAAGAGAAGAATGACTATGAAGTTAAGTGAATTGAAATAAATTAATTTTGTTGTGCTGCACTGTGCACCAGGAACATGCATCCAATCCCCTCCTAAAACACTCAACAAAAACAGCATGATACCAGCACAAGCTGTGGTATAACTCAAATAATAAATAACAACTTTAAAACACAATTGAAATTCACATCTAACTATAGATATTGATAGAAAATATAACATTCTCATAACCACAATATTGGTTTCTTTAATTGAGAACAGCCATGGAAGCAAAGTCATGCAAACAATGAGCTGAAACTGATATTGAGAAGATTTAATTATTTTGTATATCTGAAATGCTACCTTTCAACTTAATGTAACTAGAGCCATGATATGTATACATGGCCAAAGGTGTGTGAGTAATTAGCATATCTGGCGTGATTGAAGTAATGCATGAGGCTTGTGGACGAACCTCAAAAGCTTTAAGTGTTTCATCATATCATACCGTTTCTAGACGTACTACATCATGGTCTACATCATCAAACTGGATGGCCAAATAGCATTTATCCTCTATATATTTTGTTCCATGAAGTTTAATCCATTTAAATGATTCCACATTATTTATTGAATTTGGATCAAGAGCAAGAGCGGAAGAAATCCTGTCCTTTATTCTTGACAATTCTTCTCCTTTGGGATGTTGCACAGGACCATATTCATTACCCTTAAATATTGAACCAGCACTGCAATTCATGGCTGCCTTCTTTTGATGGTGATTGGATAAGGATAAACAAATGTTCTTGAAATTCAGTATTTTCTTAAGGTCTTTGAAGTATTGATGTTTTGCCTCAAAACGCATGGCCTACAAGTTTATCAGTGGACCAAGAAGAAGTATAACTTTTGGAAAATGTATAAGGTAGTGCTGCTTTGGAGTAAAAGGTTGTTCAGGAAAAAGTTCATTGAAGAGTCACAAATATTCAGCAACATTTTCCTCTAGCTATGCTATGGTTTCAAGGCTAACAACTGATGCAAAGCAAATTTCTGTAATGTCACTTAACAAAATGTATAGCTCCCAGTGGCTGTCAGAAAAGTTAATACTGTCTCCAACAACAAACGGAAAAATGCGAAAGAGTAAACAACATTTTACTGCATCTTGATTCAGAGTTGTAGAACCTGATGGAGATCTTTTTCACATATATAGTTGGGCTTATCAGTTATTTCCACGTAACTATACGGGATACTTTGAATGGCACTGTTTATTGTTGCAAGATTGGTTACTTTATATTAGAGTCAATATAATGTTTTATAAGAGCTTGTAATGTTAGGGGTGGAACTCCCTCTAAGAGAACATGCATAACATCTGGAGGAGTTTCTTTGTAATACCATGACTGGTTCTGTAGTGGTCCTCAAGGGTCCGAGTGGCTCCACTGATCACACTACATTGCTCTAAATGCTTCTTGAGTGTTCATGCCTCAAAATCTTCCTCTCTGAATCCATTTTGCATGGCATTATTATCAGCATTACAAAACCTGCACTTTCTGAGGGCACCACCCACTGATTCCTTCAAACCAATGGCTTTGTGAGCAGTTGGATTATCTGCTACATATGCCACCAAAGATGCTCTCATATATATTGTCTCACCATCCTTCAAATTGATTGGATACCCATCTGGCATGCTGTGTTGCTTCAAGTCATTCAGGAAGGGTTCAAGAATGATGTCAAACCCATAGGTAGCAATATCCTCAGACTTCACCACTGCAAAAAGATTGATGGCATCAAGAACACTGCAATATTTTTTGGGCAAATTACTTACCAAGTAGTAAAACAATAAAAGCTTGTGTTTCTTTACTCTAGTGCCCACAGCATTACACAGTTCTATTTCATCACTATACAGGATAATGTGTTTCCATCAATAGCAAAGAGAGGGTGATTGGATAAGACTACACCATCCTGAAGAAATTCCAGTTTGCTATCAGATCGATTACAGTTAGACTGCAACAGTGCTTTTCTCAACTCTTTATCAGACAATAAAGCTTCCAAGTTCTTAATGAGAGGAATAAAACAATAGGTGTGCTTCTTCAACAACTGATGATTCTTTTTTCTGCCATGTCCTCTGGTCCTTGAAAGTGTTGTTCCAAGAGTCCTCTGTACTGGTTGCTACAACAAAATAGATGATGAAAATCATTCCAGGTCATTTATATTTTTAGAACTGAGAAACTCATCGCATTTCAATGCTCATTCTTTCATATTTTTTTCCATAACTGTCTCCCTTCAGTTTCTTGTTCTCCATTTTTAATAGTTCTCAATAATGTTTTGTATTTAATGACCTATATACCAATGAGAGTACTCTTGGATGTGGAAAATACATGTATAAATAATAAACAGAATGACCATTACTTTTTTTAAAGCAACAAAGGTCTCAAAAACAAACAGTTTGCTGAATATTTAGGAGGCAAGCAGAGAGTGCTAACTATTAATTACTCTTAATTAGTCCTCAAAAGTACATACCACAACATTGAAGTGTTGGTTGATAAATTGATTTCTTAACCAACCGCTGTGGCAGCGTTTAAATGGGGGGAAATCACTTAAGTCCAAACAGTCACTAATATCAATTCTGTTTTCCAATTTCCTCTTGACTCTTTGGCCAGCTAACAACATATTGTCCTGGCAGATTTGCGTAGTATAGCTCATAACAGATTTAAAAGCACTTTGAGGTAGTCCGTATTCCTCTCTCATGCTAAAAAACAACAACAAACAATCTCACTTGTAAATCATTCGAGCAGCACGCCCCTTCCCCCCCTTCCCGGCAAACTGTTACTTTTCATCTGGTCATCCAATTCATTTGGATCGATGCCCGTTTCATGAACAGTAGCTAACTCTCCAGATTCGTCGGCTTCCTCCACAGTCAAATTAGCTGAGTGTTGCAAATTGTCCTCGTTTCCTTGTTCAGTTGGCACGATAAAGTAATTCCCGTGCACTGGAGGAAGGGTGTGACCTTTGTATACATCGTCGTGCTTTCTACGAACGTGTTTGTAAAAACTGTTGTACTTAAGGAAAACTTTTTGGCAACCTGGTGAGTCCCCGAGACCACAGATAACTTGAAATTCGTCGTCTGAGTGTACTAAATTCAGGCGAGTGAACAAAATTCGCAAAGATATTGCGCTGAATACGCACGAAGGAAACATACATGTCCACATTTTCGGGAGCCTCGCTCTCAATTTCTTCAGAAGGAGACTTGGACCAAGATCTTGACAGCCTCAATTTCAAGATTGCGTGAATTTTTTTTTTTTTTTTTTTCATCGGGCTTGCGGAGAGAAGAATTGTTGACACTTTCACCATCAGATTTGGCGAAAAAACTTCAAGAAGTTGGGTTACCAAAAACGCTAACACAATGCTTAGAAGGTAAGGATTGTATTTAATAGTATGTCGCCTTACTGTTTTGTTAAACAGAACTAGAAAAATGTCCTGTGAGCGCATGAACGATGTGTTCCTGAGAGACACTTTTCACTTACCAATTAGTGAGAATTATTATTCATTTGGTAACTCTGTGATTTTAGAGGAGACAAGAGGACCTTCCAGACGAGGAAACACGCAGCAGCACTGGAACTGATCAGTTTTCAGTCACAGTGTCATCGCATAGATCATCTCCAATGGCGTCAAGCCCAAGTACTTACAGTGTTTCAAGTGGAAATTTCGACTCTAGTTTCAGATCTCTCTCAATATTACCTCTTTGTTGTTCAGAAACTGTCCTTGGGGAAGGAGGTCCAAAACAAGCTGTAAATTCTAACACGTGTTTGTATAAACCTGTTGATTTACCTGCAGACTTTGAACTACCCTATAAGTTTGGGAAAAAAATTGATCAGACTTTGAAAGAGTGTAAAAAGCCAGGTTCAGTGCCACCTGATGTGATGAAAAGGGTTGTTAGACAGGTAGCTGATCATATTGAAGCAGAGAACCCTAGCCATCCAAAAAGACCATTGAGTGGGTTGCCTGGACTTACTGCTTGAAGTATCCTGGGCTGAAGACAGCTAATCCCCTGGACATCTTTGCCAAATCTTTCAATGAATGGGTAGGTGTAAAACTTGTGATGCAGTATTTACAGTAGGTCTTTAAAAACAATCTCAATATTAGAATTAATGTTCCTGCATGCAAAGCTATTTGCTTTACTGTCATTGCCTTTAAGGGAGTGCTTGCAGAAAAACTTAGAAGAAAAGAATTGCTACTAGGATAAGTGCAAGTCTGTGGAAGGTAATCATTTTCAACTTGAGGCTCAAAAGCAGAAGACTCTGGAAACAGATGAAGGTAAGTCAGTCATCTGACAGTGTTGGAAATAATTTTTCTTGTTTAGCAAAACATAGGTCCTTTCAAATCTTTATTTTGGCTGAACGTACTGAAAACTTCTGGGACATTAATTAGTACAATTTTGCATTTTATGTAATTACCATCCACAATGTTAAATGATAAGGGTCAGGAAATTTTGTTATCTGTCTATCCTCTGAAGGAACTCCTATAAATGTGGATGGTAATACTAGTTTGGAAAGGCACAGAGGAAGAGTGAAAGAAAAATTCACCAAATGAGGAGGTAGTGAAAGAACTGATGACTGCTGAGTTCATCAAGTGTAGAATTCTCATTAAACAACTTGATGTCAGGACAAGAGTTAGGGAGACCTTGACAAAATATCCTATTCTTGCTAATGGATATCAGGTACACTGAGTTACTGTATGCTAGTTATCTAACTCATAATGAGTACACAAGGCTGATAAAATACTTTTGTGACTAGGTCAGTCAAGAGGCATACGTGTAATATATGTTTTCCATTTGTGTTATAGAAATGACTATTTCAAAATGAATGATCATGACCTGTTTTTATGGTCCTTCAAATGCAATAAGCTGTTTGCCATATGACCCATTACTGACACTTACATGTATGTTTGATACAAAAAAAAAAGAAATCCTGAAAACTATTTTCTTATTGTTTTCTTTAGCTTTCCAGGTAGAAGAGGAATTAGAAAGAATTTAAAAATTCAAAAAGAAAGTTACAGGACAAGTAGAACAAATGCTAAATCTAACTGGAGAAGGCAAGTTGTCAAATTAAAAGCATTTCTCTCTCAGAGGTTCAGTATTGCTGAGCAGGAAGTCACAGGTAAAGTACCACAACAAATTTCATGGTGTATAAAAATAAAAAAATTTGCCAGAATGCTGGCTAGTTTACAGTATTGTGACAACAAATTCCTGTCTGTCTAAAGTGTTTAAGACATTCTTTCAGGTCTGTCAGATAAAGTCACAATGAATAAAGGGTGACAGTCCAAAAATGCTTTGAACTTTTTGACTGGGAGCGTGTCATCTCTCCACTGAGGTCTATGTTTTACTTAGCTCTTCTGTCTGATGTCTGTGTTTAGAGCGGACCATCTAATCATGTTTAATTGTTGCAGTGTGACAATGTTGATTTATGCAACATGGCAGCAGTGTTAGCTTTCCTTTTGTAGTAATATTTGTTGCATCTAACAAAATAATTTATTAATTTTTGCATTTTGTAGATACTGATGTGCTGAATAACTTCAGTAAAGTATTTCCAACAGTCTGTAAAAAGAAAAAAAGAGCTGCTCAAAGTCATTCCCCTTTTGTCAAGCTGACGTCTTCTGAGGTAAAATTGCATTCCTAGTATGTTTCTTTATGAAAACTGAGTGTACGAAGTTTAGCTGGTTGTACTTTAAAGAACAATAATTAGAAATGCCTCCCTGTGAATCATGTCCTTCTTTGCATTTTACTTCAAGGAAAGTCCAACATATTTGTCTGCAGCAAAAGAGCCAAACATTCTAGTCCATGATGATAAAGACAGTGGAGATGATAATCCAAACAGCCCATACAGTCTTATGATTGGAGAACATTTATACTGTCAAGTTACCAAAAGTGACAATACATTAGGCCACTGTTTAATTCAACTTCTTGCCCTGTATTAAATTTACCATCTTGAATACCCACAAAGATTCAGAAACATTTATTTTTATCTGCAAAAGTTTGTTTTAGGAGATCATAAGCTCCTTTGTGCACCACGGTCATCAATAGCTACCACAAGTCAATTCAATCATACCCTATTTGGTTTTTGCCAACTTACTTTGAGTAGAGTAGTATCAGAGAAGTCCCTGTTGATAAAGATACACTATTGCATTCACCTAAATTGAGAGAATGCACGAGTGTCACACACCATAACTTCAATTTTTAGACTTGCTTTGAAAGCAACTTCATGTTCAAAGCTCCTTTTACAGTTTTATGTTCATATCAACTTGATATTGTTTGAGATACTCACAAGTAATTTAAATTATATACATACAAATATATAGCTGTTTTATAGTAGAGCTAGTTTACAGCACAGATGCAATCAGAGGCTCAAATTTAGTGGTAGTGATTGGAATCATCCAAATTTTTTATTGCCTTAGAGCTAACATAGTATGTTGTGGTGATTCTGGAAGTTAAGTTTGAACTCTATTCTCCAGATTCAATCAGTGTTGCTGGACCAGGTGTAAACTAGCCCTAACTGATGTTATTGTACTTATTGTTGGTCATGATATAGTTATAGGCTTAATCAAGAGCCTTTGATGTTCATAATGATAGATGTACAATTTTATATAATGATTGCTGAGGTTGGTTCCAACCAAAAGTTGAAATGACAGTCTTGGAATTTTTTAAATTTTAAAAACTATTGCTGTGTAAGTCTTGTTATCATTCAAGACAAAAGTAAAAATTGTTGTTTTTCATTCCATGGTGTGCAATTTTTATTTTGCTTGGATTTTTCCTTGTAGATTAATAGATTTTTGAAGCATTCACCTCTTTTTTTATACCATCACAAAAATTTGGATTTTAACTTCCCAAAATGTTAGCAAGCAATGAACAAAACATTCCTTTTTTAACAAGAGGGCTTCCTTTGACTGAAGTGCATAGTCTTTAGAAAAAGGGGGTATCCCCTTAAACTAGGGGATATATCCATTAACAAAGGCTTATTGTCACATCATTGTATGGGTGTGACACTTAATCTAGGCTAGGCTATTTCCTGCACTTAGGTTTACAGCCTACTTAATGAGGAAATTCTTCTCTTAAATTTGATTAAGTGACACTTGATCAAATATCTTTAGATCTTTTAAATTTGGTGAACAGTACTCGACCAAGTTAATTAACAGCCTTAATTAAGCGAAGCACTAAACCTTTGTCAAGGCCATAAACCCTAGTATTATCGTTTTACTCTACCTGACTAAGGGTTTCCACCCTCAACTTAAGAGAGAATGACTCAACCCACGGACAGCCATTTAAGAGTTTTACTCTTAAAAATAAGAGTTTTTAACTGAAAATAGGAAACTACTTTTTGCGGTGTAATTATGAAATCACGGGAAAAGTAAGAAAAACAACAGGCTTTTTGGCTATAAACTTCCTTTGCCCAGTGAACATTCCTGGAGTAGTTTGTTCCTGCTGGGAACTCCGATGTTTCTAGAGAATCAAGAAATTCGTTTTCGCGTTTGGCATACCAAGGTTAGCCGTCTCAAGAATGTGATTCGACCAATACGTCAAACTCAAAACGATCTCAATGATCTCAGTAATGACTTATATTAAGATTTATCGCTGACATGAGAAATTGACCCGGGTTTTTTCCTCCCGCTTCACATGAAAAGACGAGAATTTCTCTGAAGTTTTGCTATCAACGGTCTGCAATATGCCAACCTCATCGACCATGCGACCTTTCGACACTCGTCTTAAACAGAACTAGAATTACTCTTTTCCTAGATTCTTTATATCTCAATACGATTATTCAGTCTAAGATGTTAAGAGAAATACCACATTCAGAGCAATTTAAAGGTCTTCGGAACTTGATAGCTTTGCAATGTTTGTGTTTGAGTCGACTGAGTAGATGTGCATAACCCAGTTCAAAGGAAGTAAGTACGCTAGCGCTCCCAGTTTTAAAAATCTCAAAAATATCTTCTCAACTTCAATCTCCTCAAAACAGTTAACTTGGATGCAGTTTTCATCGCTCACGTCGAGTCATGTCTTACTTAAGTCATTGTGACGTAGATAATTAGGAAACTACTGAACGACTCAAGTAATCAGTTTCTTTCGTCGCGCATCACTTAAATCCTGCATAGACCTCTGGAAAATTGACTGACCTTCCCCTCAAAATGCGGTCTTTGTCAAGACAGATTCTTTCTTTAATGATGATCACAATTATCTGTGTCAGAGTTACAAGTTGTAAGTTTCTTGACTTTTTTTAAGTACCTTTTCGTTGGAAGTGCTATAAGTATTCTTTTTTAATTCCTCACCGGTTCTGAGCATCGTTGTTGAGTTATGTTATGTTAGAACTCGGGCTCAGCTTGCAAAGCGATAGTGTTGAACGACAAGCTGCAAGAAATGTTGCCCACTTGTCCTTTAGTCGTTCATCAGGAAAACGTTAAGTTTTCGGACTAATGCCTTTTAACGGTTTTAACCAGTGCGCGCCATGTCGCGCCAAAGAGAATTTAAGAATTTGTTCATGCTTAGCGTGCGTACATCGAGTTATGGATGCACGCGGAAAGTTTGGAGAGCACGAAAAATGTGTAAGAGTAGCTCGAGGCGCAGCCGAGAGCAGCTCTAGCTTTTTGAGTGCTCTCCAAACTTCCCAAGTGCATCCATAACTCGATATACGCACAGCTAAAAGCACGAGCAAATTATTTTATAACAGAGCGACAACAACGATCTGCGCGAAGAAGCCTTCTATTGAAAATTCTCACTACGCACAAAAAAAAGTAAACAAACGTCCCTATTGGCTGGTCAAAAACACGCCACATTTTATACTTTGGTTTGACCGATAATTGTGAATGAAAAGCTCAAAATTTACGGGGAAAATGGAGAAAATCAAAGCCAGATGAATTCAAGTGTCGCTAAAAAATTTTTTAAAAGTCAAAGATCCGAAGTTATCAAGGGTTTTGTTTGTTCAAAGTAATGTCTACGATTCCGACAAGTTTGCGAAACGTGCAACTTGCGAGTTTTTTTCGGCTTTATTTTTGTTGCTTGTTGGATCAGGACCAAAAAGGTCAATGCCGATAGAAAAATTGGGTAGTTCTTCGCTGGTTTCTTTCATATTTCAAAGAGAAGGGAAACTGCACTGCAGCTTAACAGGACGAAAACTGAAGCCAGGTTAAAAAAAATGCTCATGTCACCTTATTTACGCACTGGCGTCCGTAAATAAAGATTTTGTTCATAGCGGCTCAATAGGACTTACATAGTGCAAGCACGCGCACTATGTTATAAATTTAGTTTGTTTTAGAAGGTTTACGTGCCATTTCTCGAGTCACCATGGTCAGAATAGTTTTAAATTCGCTTCGACCTAAGAAGTAGAAAGATAAGTAACCAGAGCAAGATTAAGTTTGTAACTTGAAAATTGCGGCTCGCATCTCTCCATTGCGAGGTTAGAAACGGTCATCTTCTTGTAAAACGTATCCCTTGCCGATGAAATGTCCCTGTTATAGTTACACCAAACAACACTCACCGTTGCACATGTCAAGTTTAGCTTCTTAACAAATCATCTCCAAATTCACCTTAGCATGCGTCGGTGACAAAGATTGTAAAGGGGATCAGCGGTGTTTCAAGGGCACTTGCAGAAAACCAGGTAAGAATGTTCCTAAGCTGCTCTATTAGTGACTTTTTATAACCATTGGCTGTTTTGAGATAAATAGTTTGTCATGTAGGAGAAAGAGAGAGGGATCTTGCTTTGCTTTGACTTACGAATTTCAATTTAAAAAGTCATCATGATAATAATTTAATACTAATAATTTAATTCCATATGTTCAAGCCTTTCTACTAATCCATTGTTTCTTCAACTGAGTGTTTTATATCTTTGCAAGATGTTCCGTAAACCATAAAAAAATCGACATGCGTCACTCGGTGGGCGTTTAGATTAAATCTATTGCCAAGAGATATACAAAACTTTATTCAATACTCATAAAAAAGACCTATGTACAGTGCTTCACTTAAAAAGAATTAAATTTGTACCTTAACATCTGTTAGAAAGAAAAGAAAAAATCATAATGTCTCAATATCTCTTGAACTATAATCCACGAAAATGTTTCTCTACTAATTATTATTACTATTACTATTAGCAATCACTACCAATATTTAACATCTTTTCACTAATTCCTCTTTAAAATCTGCCAACAACGATAAAAACATTAAATAGTAGTAATAAATAAAATGCAATATTCAATATCTTTTCTCTAAATAAAAATCTAATAATTTAATACTAATAATTTAATGATAATAATAATAATAATAATAATAAGTTAAGAACACGGTCCTGGATGATCTCTATTTTCTTTTAAGAAAATCTAGATCAATGTACCAAGCCTAGCGACTGCCATGAAGATGCCGTATGCCATCGAGAAAAGTGCTATTGCAGGGGACACACAGTAGGGGAAGGATTTGATTGCAAAGGTACTGTAATTGCAAATTCTAAAAGCTCAAAAATGTACGCAGGGGAATGAAGAATTGCTGCTGGAATTTTTGAGAACTAACCGTGCCAACAAAACGATTTATCTCCTTTCACTGTTTGCCAATTGAGTGGTCCTATGTGTCAAGATATCAAATTCTTGCCAGACTTTTCAATTCTTGTATCCCCAACTTCCTGTTCAGAATTTCTGTAAGAGTATATGCAGGCCCATACTGTTATTTTATAAGATTTTGACTATACTAAAAACTATTCGACATTCAGCCTCTTAAAATTAAATTTAAGCTCCCAAGAGGAAATAACTCCTGATACCTGCGGTGGAATTTAGGTAAAACCCCATAGCAAATTTTAAGCAAAAACTAAGAGCTGCTTCTGCTAATTATTATGAAAATAGGAACAGAAATACACACTCACACTACAGTTTTTGAATCCCCCCTACCCCGGATCCACTCAAATAAGTCAAGGGTTTCACACATGTACATTGGTAACCCTGGTATG